CTGGGAACTTGGGTTTTGTACAATACTTGTTAGGAAAATACCCTTTGCTTGTTTTTGGAGAAGGTGAATATGGGTTGACTGATATACTGTATGCTGCTGCTAAGAGTAAGAATCCTGAGGTTTTTAGGGCTGTTTATGGTTTCGCGGTTTCGCCGCGGTTTTTGGATGGTGGAGGGGTGGTGGAGGAGCAAAGGATTGAAGATGTTCCTATGGAATTTAAGACTGAGGTTAAGAATAGAGCTGTTCATGCTGCTGCTAGAGGTGGGAATTTGGTTGTTTTGATGGAGCTTCTTGCTGATTGTACTGATGTTTTAGAGTTTAGAGATGTTAATTGCTCAACTATTTTGCATTCTGCTGCTGGTAAAGGTCAAGTTGAGGTGAGGTTCTTGCTTTTTTGTTTTTAGCAATGTTATTTATTTTTTGTTTTTAATATGCTAGCTAGTTGACTTGTGTTCACAAAGGTCGAATCCTCTCAAATGCGGTACTTGAGGGTGAGGATCCCTTACCGTTCCCTCTCACTTTTAAGTGTCTAGCCCGCAAATAATGGAAATACTGTAAAACCACAAGAGTTAAGGTCTGGTTAGCGGTTAGGGTCTATCTTCTTACTGAAAGAAAAAACTAAAAACTAGTTGACTTATGTTTTTATGTTGTTCTGTTTTTGGATGATTTTTTATTACAAAGTTTCAAGATCCCAACAGTCAAGTTTTGGTGTTAGATTTCTTGTTTGTGTTCATTCTTCTGTTCATGAATGAAAGTTTTTTGGCAGGATTCATGACTTGATGCTGTTTGATATAGCAACTGGTTGTCTAGTAAATGTGCTATGTGTTGAGACTATTGATATGAGGAAGACTTGTATGCAACGCATGTATTGTTTGCAACATGTTTTGCTATCCTGAATCACATTGAAGTGAACTTTGTAAAGTAGTGACTTTTATGTGATTTAGGGGTGCATTGGCCTAGTGTGTGCATGTATAGTTGTGTACAATACAACCGTTCTATACAAGACCTTTCGATGTAGTATACGATGCTTTTGTTGAACAAAATTGGTTGAATAGTGTAGAATATCTGAGAAACCGAGGTAGATTAATACTTCTCTTCATTGTGGAGGGAAGAGAGAGATATGTTTTACACAAGTGGCTTGCATCCAACTCACAGTTGGGACACTGAAAAGTGTTGCTATACGACAGGTAATTCTATTAAGTCAGTGTCATGCAGCAAACCAAGCCTGTAAAGTAGTAATAGCTGAGTAATAATATGTAACTCATAGAAGTAATAGAGGCAGTGACAATTCAAGTATTAAAAGCTAATAAGGGGCATTGGAAATCGCGCTTGTGGAGTGGTCCGTGGTGGGCTTTTAGCTTGAGGACTGTGATTATTACACTTAATTATCATGTACTTGCAGCCATCTATGTCCCTCATTGCCTTCTCGCGGTGTTGGAGCACACTAGTAATTAGGTAACCATCATTTAATCTTGATAGAGGGAGGATAGACAATGACCTCAGATTTATTGTGACATTCAGTATACACCCTTGGTATTCAAGCTTCCTATGTATAATCCATGATACAAGTAAAGATAGAAAGGGAAAAGGGACTCAACCTTAGACTTCTTACCGCACCCTTTCTTGAAAAAAGACAATAGGTGAAACACAAAATGGAAAAGAACCTTTTGAAGTTTAGGATGATTGTTGCCAAAGTTCAAACCATTATAATTTTCAGTAATTCATTTTCAGATGGTTTATAACTCTTTTGTCTATGGAGTATTTATTTGCAATCACTTAGAGATGTTTTATGCTCTTGCAGGTAGTTAAACACTTGATAGCATCCTATGACATGATCTCTGTCACCGATGATAAAGGCAATACTCCATTGCATGTTGCTGCATACAGAGGTCAGTTGCCTGTTCTCGAAGCTCTGATTCAAGCATCGCCTAAAGCTGCCTTTGTAGTCAACAAGGTTGGGGAAACATTTCTTCATGTGGCTGTTGCTGGTTTCCAAACTCCTGGTTTTCGTAGATTGGATCAACAGATTGAACTCATGAAGCAGTTAGTAAGTAGCAAATGTTTCATCATAGAAGATGTTATCAATTCCAAGAATAATGAAGGGAGGACTGCCCTTCATTTAGCCATTATCGGGAACATTCACTCTGATTTAGTGCAATTGTTAACGAGTGCCCGCTACATCAATGTGAACATCCGTGATGATCATGGGATGACCCCGCTTGATTATCTTAAGCGACAACCAAAATCTGCATCATCAGAAATCTTGATCAGACAGCTGATATCTGCTGGTGGTATATCCAGTTGCAAAGATTATGCCGTGAGAAAAGCATTTGCTTCTCATTTGAAGATGCAAGGCATTTGCAGCAGTCCTGGAACATCTTTCAGAGTTTCTGATAATGAAATATTTATAGGGACTGGAATTGATCATGTAGTGCATCCTAGCCTAGGCCATCTAAGTAGAGAACGTTTTCATTTTAACTCCTCCAGTGAGGCAAGTCATTGTGGGTCACTTAGTGAGGAGGACCATAGAACTCCGGACATTAAGAAATCAGGCCCTCTACAAAATGCAGCTAAGCGCCTTAAAACAATGTTCCACTGGCCATTGGGGAAAAGGAAAGAAACTGAGAGATCCAAGAGAACAAGGGAGAAAGACGAGAGTGTTTCTGATAAAAGGAGGAGCACTTCGGAGGAAACACCAATCTCGCTAAGAGAGAGATACTCCAATGCTTCTTCTCTTTCCAGCAACAAAAGAACACTTGAAGCGAGGAGTAACATATCTAGTCCTACCAACCGAAAGAGGTTGGCTTCAGGGGTAGCACATGATGCCATGCAGGATCAGCTTATTGTGAACCTTTCATCTCAACCTTCATTTTCCAAGTCATCACTTTCTTCAAATAGTTCTCTCGAAAAGGGGAAAGAAATTCATGTGGAAGATGAGAATGCTAGACCCTCTCGCTTAAAGCAAACCAGTGCTGATGCTGCCCCAGATGCGATGAGGAAGCAAGGATCCATGAACAAGAGATTTGTGAACCCGATTTTGTGCTTTGGCGGATCCCACTTATCAGTTAAAAACTCAATAGGTAAGCACTGTACTAAGCAACCTGTACTTTCGGTTGCTTAAGGTTAATTCACCGTAGAAATGGATCAGTAATAGATCGCCTTACATAGCTGTAAGTCTTGTAACTTTGTGTTTAATCACTACTTGTGATTGTGTGACCTCTGACTGTCATCCCTGAGTTTTATGTGATAGCTCTCTTGTAGATGACTGTAGTCTGTAGGATCACTTATGAGATGTGTTTGCCTCTAAACTATCTCCTGTAATATATTTGAGATCCTAGCTTTGTGATGCTAATATCTTAATCATGTATAACCTCCCTTTAATAATGGTTCTCCCTGTATTAACTACCGTAATAAAATTTATTCGATGTTGACTACTCGTGCTTGATTTCAATTCTTCTATGAACAAAATCTGATAACTATATATACTTAAACCTTATACTACACATACATGACATTACTTGCATGCATGGATCATTTTGCCTTTTATGTGACTATTATTTTCGAACTGAGGGAACTACTCTATATATGACCTTCATAAGCATCAATGCAATTGAGTTCAATCCTTTAAAGGCTAAGCTCGGTTCGTATTGATTAGCCAATGTATGTAACTATGTAACTAGATGCTAGGACATTTTCTGCTTCCCCTCTTTTATGAAGAGGCTAGCATTCAATTGTTCACTTCCTTGTTTGGTTGCAACTTGTTAGTAAACAAAGAAAAAAAAATAAAAATGATCATTCAAGCATTATACTTCGTATACTTTTTCATCATGTTGTTTGGTGGACTTGAAATAAAGCGAATTGAGATTCAAATTTTTTTTTTTTTTTGAACGATGAAATTCTCATAATAAAAAGTCGACAAAAAATAATTAGACTTTTTATTGATTAAATTAGAAAAAGAGTACATTACCACGTAAATTTAATACCTATAAATGTGCGTCAAACAAGCAAATTTTGTAATGACAAAGTTGTGACAAGCATGTACTCGTAAGATCGATGGGCGGTTTGAAGATCCTTTTTCAACTGCCGACAAAAATTGACTGGATATTATCTGGAATTTTGGATACTAATCTCACAATAAAGTATATGATTATATGCCTAATACAATAAAGTTTAATAAGAATGATGATTGATGATGCCTTTAAGGTCCACCTGTTAATGGAAACACCACTTTAAAGTGTAAGCATTTTTTCTATGCAGATTTGCCTGTCTTGTGGACCAACTGACCCTAACCATTAATTTTTATAAGTAAAGCTGAGAATCGATGAACAAGTATTTGGATCAATTGATTGATAAAAGAATTCTTTTTATTATTAATCCGAAATTGTAAATCATAGCTTAAGATTTCTCAACATTTGTGTGGGAAAAATTTACTCTATTCGGAATATAACTTGAATTGAAACCAAATTAATTGCCATCTATTTTTTTTTAACACATCCGAGTGCAAGATTGGTGTACCCAAAGATATTTTGTATGTGCAGTTGCATCCGAGTTCTTTGTTCTTTTGTCGTTGAAGCAACAATGGGAGGAAAGAATGAGATCATTGTAGTCTAGCTGGCAGAACATAATTGATAAAGTATTTGGTTGAGTTGGTCCACTAACAATAATTAATGGGCAAATTGATTACACTGAATATTACTCCGAACTTTACACTTTGTATATGATTAGATATGTTTCCTCAAAACTCGAGGTGATTAACAATGCTATTGTAGTTTAATGTATGACTTAGGTGTACATGAAGTCTTTCTGTTTTGTTAGATATTGTACTTGAAGCTTTGTCTTCACTTCTTTCACATAATAAGTTTTGAAGAATTGAAATTCAATGAAAACTTTTAAACTATCTTATTTTAAGTACTCTTTGCCTTCACTTCTTTCACACGTTCACATAATTTTAAGTACTCGACTATCTTATTTCAAGTACTCTTATTTAAGAATCATGCAAATTAATAAAAAGACTGCTTGATTTTCACTCACCAAAAATAACTTTCATGACATTCAACAAAAAGAATCCAATGTCACAAACAAATAAATTAAAAAAACCATGCACATAGGCAATGGTATACACAAATAAAAATGATAAGCAAAGGCCTATAACTTCACACTCTATGTATGTCACACGGTTATTTTTTGCATCAATGCTCCACTCTTAGTACATCAGAGGAAGGTATGTATGCACACTTAAATCCCATAATAACAACCAAAAAAAAACAAAAAAAAAAAAACACAAGGCAAAATGTATGTATCCCAAAAGAACAATACAATACTAACTCCATAGTACTTTAATTCCTTATGATGTACTTGTATATAATGTATAGTGTGTTGAGCCTAGATGTCCTGTTCGATAAGGTAGTCGCCCAACTTCTCCACAACCATGTTACATTGTCCTGGAGTCACTGGCTCGTTGTAGATTCCGAACACTAGGGCTTGGTTAGTCTTCTTAATACACACACCACCAGGTCCCTGGTAACACAAACGAATATGGTATAAGTGTTAACATGTAATAGATGCAGACGAAATACTTTGTATATTGTACCTAAGAAAAATGCAACATGGCCTTATGTACCACAATAATTTTGAGAAAATTCTTTTATTAATGTTCTCAATTATTTGTTTCTTTCATCAACAGTTATTTATGCTTTACAATACCTAGGTGATAAGATAGTGATTTATTCGTGGTGGGTTCCATCCTGCAAACAACACGCTTTAATTTTAAAATAGTAACGCAATGTTATTAAACAAATGGTTACCATAACTAACAGTCCGTAATCTATATATGTTAGCCTTATATAAGAACGTGTTTAGGAAATTGAAGGGAGCAATCGATTATACGATTTACCTTCTTTCCACGAATAACAGCTCCAGGCTCACCCTGAATAACCATGTACTTTTCTCCTCCAAGGAAAAGACCTGTTGGTGCCAACGTATTTGGTACGTCGAATTCATTGCAGATTGCCTTCACTTCTTCTTGCTTCAACTGCAATCAATTGCAAATACAAAGAAATTAATCATTTTTTTTTTTTCGGTACCTCATACCATTTACATACATAAATCCCCTTTTCTTATTTGTCTCGTTTGACTTTTTGTAACCTTTGCTACATAAGTCATCGCTTGGGAAACTCAACTCAAGGGATAGGTAAAGCAATCGTAGTTCGTGGAGTTCGAACTTATAATTTCAAAGTCACAAATATTAACGTAGTTGTAAAATCTTTGATCATAAGATATAAACTACGCAGTATTATCAATTAATCATAATCCCTCTACTTTTCATTAAATTTACAATTATTTAATAATTAATAAAAAAACCTTACTTCAATTCGAAACTATACGATCGAAACCATCTAACAAAACACGGTCAACACATATAAAGTTTGACCATAAAAAAGCAAATATATGATATGATCACCTTGACAAATATGTACATGACAAAAATAACACCATCTAAGGATGACATATTAACATAGATACCTGGGGGAAGGCGGAGCTTTGAGCCCAAACGCTACCGTCCAAGCCGACGATAGCGGCGGCGGTGAGGTGGTTTTCGGTTTCTTCGATGGGACACATCAAGTGATCATCGACGTAAGTTTGCCACGACATTATTATGTTGTTGTGAAATTGATAAATTTATTTCTCTTTGAAAGAAAAAAAAAAAAAAAAGGTTGAGAGTTTAATTGAATTTGTTGAAATGGGATAATAGATGATGGTGTAAAGAAGAGAGGGAAGAAATGGCAATGTGATCACAAGTCATAAATAGGAAGAGAGATAAAATAATGCTAAATTATTATTTTGAAAAGTCATCAATCAATAATATTAGTGCATCATCATTTGCCCCATTAAATTAAACCATCCTTATTATTGAATAAGTGCCATTCACGTCCTCCTCTTTTTTAAGGCCTTCTTTCCCTCTTACCTTCCACCTCTCTTCTCTTTATCTATTTACATTTTTATTTCTTTTTTTTTTTCATCTTCAAAGTGTAAAGTGTATCGAGTTTTCTGGAATAGAAAGAGTACATTGTAAAAGGAAATTTTGACTTTTATCACAAAAAAAAATCAAAAAATTGTTTTTTACCACCAAAACTTCTAAAACTTTTATTTTACCACCAAAAAAAAATTCTAAAAATTGTTTTTTACCACCAAACGTCATGAAAACCGTTAAATCTAACGGTTAAAAAAAAATTACTTCGAATTTTGTGCGCAAAAAATGTTTTTCATAGGTTTAGGGGGGCACTTTGGCCCTATGGGTCCAATTTGATGTCAAAAACTCAAAATTGACAAAAAATGATCGAAAATGTCTCGTTTGGTGTTTTCACGCAAATAGAGGTTTTTTTAAACACGCAAAATGAGGTATTTTCGATCATTTTTTGTCAATTCTGATCTCAAATTGGATTCATAGGGCTAAAGTGCCCCCTAAAACCCATGAAGAGTTTGTGTTTGACACGAAAATCGAAGAATTTAAAAAATTCCGTTAGGTTTTTGACGACAGGTGGTAAAAAACAATTTTTAATTTTTTATTTGGTGGTAAAATAAAAGTTTTAGAAGTTTTGGTGGTAAAAAACATATTTTTGATTTTTTTGGTGGTAAAAGTCAAAAAATCCTTTTTTTTTTTTTTTTTTTTGAGGGTTGCATAATGCATATGGTATTGTGGTTTAGGCGTGGCTTGATGGTTGTTCTAGTTATGTGTATTTCTCACTTTGCTCTCTAGTCATCCGTTCAAGGATTCTTAGGTTCTTTTATAGTATTCTTCTTATTCTCTCTCTTTTTTTTTTTTTTAAAAAAAAAAGAAGGTGATTTCCTTTCTATCTTTTTTTTTTTTGGGTAATTCCTTCCAGCCACAAAAGGTTTTTAATTCTTTCTTCTTGGACTTCTTTTTTTTTCGAAACCATTTTTTTGAAATCATTCTCTTACAACCAGATTTCCAAGTATTAAAAAGAAATTTCCTTCTACATAGAAAAAAAAATACATACTACTAAATTTATAAGGCCCTAATATTTGCACACACAAAACATATATATATATATATATATATATATATATATATATATATATATATATATATAAATAAATAAAGGGCCCAAATATATTAGTTCGCCGCACATGAAATCTCAAAAACGGCCCACTAACACACCCCACTTCTCCCTTGCGCACAAATCAACCCAATTCCACTAACCTTCCTTTCCAGCCCACCTCACCAAAACAACCCACTTCCTCTAATTCTTTAAATTCACCAATCCAACCCATTACTCCAACTACATGCAATTCCTCATATACGCCTAGGGTGAAAATAGTTCAGATTAAAATCGAACCAAACCGAATTAGTAATTCGATTTGAATTTATTTTTAATTCGGATTGGATTCAATCAATCAAAGCCTTAATCCCAAAAGTGAGGTCGACTAACATGAACAAAAATGATTATTCCGTGTAGTCATCAACATAAATCTTTCTCCTCCATCCTTTACGATCCAAATGATTATTCCGTGTAGTCATCAACAAAAATGATTATTCCGTGTAGTCATCAACATAAATCCTTCTTCATGCAAATCCATGCACTTCATATCCTTCCTAACTCCTTCCAACCAAGTCATTTTTGGTCTCCCTCTCCCTCGTTTAATCCCTCCATGGTCCCACTCTTCTACTCTTCGCACCGGTGTGCCCTCGGGTCTCCGTCTTACATGACCAAACCAGCGCAAACGATTTTCCCTTAGTTTATCTACAATGCCTGCCACACCTACTTTCTTGCGAATAACCTCATTTCTGATTATATCCCTTAAAGTGTTTCCACATATCCACCTTAACATGTGCATTTCTGTAACCTTCATCTTTTTAATATACTTTTAATTCGGATTGGATTGGTTTGGAAAAATGAAAAAATATGGATTATGGCTTGGATTCAATTTGAGGTTTAAAAAATCGAAAACTGAATTTCGATGACCCATTACTTTAAGCTCATTTTCTTTTTTAAAAGTATCCAACCCCTTTCACCTTTCATATATAAAGTAGAAAAAAACTAATTCTCCTTTCTCAATATCTTACTCTCTTACAAAGAATGTAGTTAACAATAAGAGGTTGAATGATTGTAGGAATTTTCCTGGTAAAGTTGCAAAAGAAGGGAACAAATTTCGGATTGGATTGGATTCTAATTTGAAAACCGAATTAATTCGGTTTGGATTGGATTGAATCTTTATTCGGTTTGGATTCGGATTGAAATTTTCAAAACCGAATCATTGAATTAATTTAGATTGGATCCATTTTTGGCTATAATCCAAACCGCAGACATAACTTTCACCCCTATATACGCCCCCGCCATTGAGGGCATCATGCCCATTCAGCCCACTCACCCCCACCACCTTCCCCTCGTGTGACTCGTAGTCACCACGAAATTTTTAAACCAAACCCCAGATACCACCAAGTAAATATGATCATCCCTTCACATAAATCACCGCTCCCTAAGACATAAAAAATGCTCTTAATGACCCTAACTGGAATGCGGCAATGCAAGATGAATTTGATGCTCTTATTAAAACGGGGACTTGGGATTTGGTACCTATGCCTACGGGGGTGAACATTGTTAAATGTATGTGGTTATTTAAGCACAAGTACAGGTCTAATGGTGACCTTGAAAGACACAAATCTCGTCTTGTCCGTGATGACATGTTGCAAGAAGTTAGTATAGATTGTGATGAGACTTTCAGTCCGGTAGTTAAACCGGCCACTACTATTCGCACTGTTCTTAGCTTAACTTTGGCTACAAAGTGGTTGACTCATCAATTAGATGTCAAAAATGTCTTTTTATATGGTGACTTACAGGAAACAGGTTATATGCATCAAACTCCGGGTTTTGTTGATCGAAAAGCACCCACCTATGTTTGTCAACTTCGTAAAGCTCTATATGGGTTGAAGCATGCTTCTTGAGCTTGGTACCAACGCTTTGCGAATTTTCTAGTTAGATTGGGGTTTATCATTGCTAAAAGTGGCAACTATCTTTTTACTTTTCGACAAGATGATGATATGACATATTTGCTTCTTTATGTTGATGATATTATATTAGCTACATCTTCTGACAGGTTGCGTAAGGGAATCATATCTCAGTTGAAAACTGAATTTCCTATGACTGATTTGGGTTAAAAACCGAATTTCCTATGACTGAATTGTGGAAAAAAGAATCGAGACTCTGAGTATATAAAATGAAAAAAATAGCCATTAGGTGGGCCCAATTGATTGAAAATTGGTCGAACACATGCAATGGAGGGTGAATTCTAACTTAATTTTTAAATGAGGTGGTTATTTTAAAAATTCGAAAAAGAGGTGAGGGGTGGTTATTTAAAAAAAATCCTAATTGTCATGCCGAAAAAAATTCATTATAATTTGTGCGGGTGATATTACAGTAGTAGAGTTGTCAATTTGTAGTTAGGTCCTGTTTCGGTTGAAAACAATGGGACCTTGCCGAAGGTCCACTAAAATGGAGAAGACTGGATTCGATCCAAGCTGTGTTGGGCCGAAGGTTTCCTGCACAGTTAACACACGTAAACTAGCCTCGGGGGTGTTTCCGAGGAAGGCCCCTCCGATGCTAAAGTCAGTACAATGTGTAAAAAGGAAGACACTATGCAAGAGAGTTTGTAGCTTGAGGCTTTTGTGGAGTATTTCTCAATGCAAGAATGAGCATATGAGTTGGAATAATCCGTGTATGAGATAATGTATGTGATGATGCATGTGTTGTTGTGTCTGATAGTGTATACGATGTTATGAGATGTCTTATGTAAGAATATGACTCTCTCCTTGAATGTGTTAATATGAGGGCTTTTATACCTCATCATATTTGGAGAGGTTGGGCTTTAGCCCAATTGGCTTACTTTGTGGGCTGACTTTTGACTTTTGAGCAATTGGAGAGTTGAACCTTGACCTTGGGCTTTTAATTGGATCATTTAGTGCTCAGGCCCAATTTTGACTAAATTGGACCCAAACAACTTGCCCCCCAGACCCGATTCGGAAGAATGACGGGTCGGGTTTGATTTAACTCAGAAAAGGAGGGAAGTAAATGATTTAATTGATCCAAAAATTTGAATTTAAACCGTAATTAATGAGATAACAACGGTTAATGATTTGCGGAAGTTGGACGGATAATGGGCGGTTTAATCACAAGACATGTGTTTAATGGTTACTTAGTGGGTACTTAAGAGAAATTAAAGCACAGACTCTTCGTATCCCGTACCTGGAGATATAAACAGAGGCGCGTCATTCTCCTCACTGATTCACCAACACAAACCCAGAATTCTTCGAGAGAGAATCCAAGAATCCGTATCAAAACTTCGCAAATTCCCCCGAGCATTGAGCTTAGAAGCTGAGACTTGCCACTACGAACTCGTAAATCGGCAACTTTCGCTTCAGATTAGGTAAATTCCTTTGATTTCAGTTTATTTTTCTTCGAATTCGAACTCCTTCCCCTCTTCTTTCGACTTTTCTCTTCGAAATAGTCCATGGCAAGAGGAGTTAGAGGTAGAGCCCGTGCTCCAAGAAGAGCAAGGCCGATTCCCGATCCTAGGAATAGGATTGGGACCTGGAATGGTCGAAGGCCGGAGTCTGACCCTGCTGATGGGATTAGGGCGACTCCCCTTTCCTCGGCTCCTCCTCAAAGAACGGATGAGCCGAGTGCTTCTGGACGGGACGATGAAATTCCCGCTGTCCTTTGGGATATCCTCCCTGGGTTTTCAGAGTGGGAGAATGCCGAAGTCGCTTCGG